AGTAAAGTAGTCTAGTGGAACTCATGAAAATATGGATATAATATTTGGTTGAACTGTTGAGCATAGGACATGATTGGTGCGTATGTAGAGTCTCTTCCTACTATGTGATAAAGTCTTAATTAATGCATAATAGTTGGCTCTTCTTTCATTCTCTTAAAATAAGGGAGAGGCCCACGTGGTTCTCTCCATCTTTTCATAGCGAGAGATAGGTCCTTATGACTTCTTCTGGTACCTCTTAATGAAAATGCCTTCTGGTTAATACCCCTATAAAATGCTTGTAGTCTATGGGATTGTATATATTTTTTTGCCAGAAGATTTTTTTTTTTCGACCAGCATTTTGCCAGAAGATTGAATACTCTTGATTGCATTATTCTCTTTTCGAATTAATATTTCAGATTTTATGTGTATTTGGAAATCGATAACCTTTGTCAATTTCCAAATACATATAAAATCTCAAACATTAAATCAAGAAAGGATTGCATATACTTGATTGCATTGTTCCCTTTTTGATTTAATATTTGAGATTATATATATAAGGAAATTGATATCTATCTTACTTGGTATCTCAAAAACACATATTAATATGAATGGCAAGCTGAAAATTTGGTTATTAAGACTTCTACCTCATCCTGTGATTTTTTATTATTTTCATGTGAGAGTTCTAGTTTTGGTACTTCAGAGAAGGCTTTAAAGGCTTAGTATATTGTCATAGATTGTATAGCCTTCATCTTTTTGTTTACGTGCTAATCGGTTATATATTGTCACCTATGGCTCATCCTTGTAGATTTTTGTAAATTAATATTTTTTATTATTGATAGTTTGATGGGAGTAGTGTTAAAAGTCCGGAGGCCTTTAAGACTATTGCATGCAACTCCCTTATTATGAACTAATGTTTTGTGTTAAATTAATAATAATTTAAAAGTTGGCAAAAAATAATAATTTAAAAACTTGTCATATAGCGTAGTTAATGATATTAATAGAGTTGTAAACATTGTTATAAGAGTTAGTAAATATGTTACAAATGTTAAAAAAGTCTCAATTTTAAAAACTGGAAAACATGTGATAAAAAGAAGCTTGTTAAAAAAAGTTGTCAATCAAGTCACAAAGATTTGAATAATCCCATAAGGTTAGGCATCTACTCATTAATTTCTCCAGGTTTAAAAGCCTGTCATATAATATGGTTAATTATGTTAATGGGATTGTGAATATTGTTATAAGAGTTGATAATTGATAAAGCCCAATTTTTATACATTTTATCCCACATTAATTTAGGATTTAAATGATAATTTTGAGCTTAATTAGATTTTTTATGCATAATTGGATTAATTGGTTGATTTTTGGATTTTGCATAAAAATTGAGATTTTGGATTAAAAATATAGATATTTTGTGATTTCCTATTTTGACTTGAATTAATTTTTCTATTTCTTTGGAAATAAGTCTCATATTTTTAGAAAGACTATTTTTAGAAAGTTTTGCACTTTCTTGCCTAATTTTTGTGCATACCTAATATTTAATTTTTGATTATATTTGGATATAATCTACATTAATTGATGCACTTAAATTCTTGTAGGTCAAGAATTTGCATATGGGAAATCTAATAGTGCAAGATTGTTTCTTGGAATCTAAGCACAATCCAATGGCTAATATCAAGTGGGTCAATTAATTACTAATGGGCTTGAGTTTTGAATCCACAAAAATTTTCTTTTCTCCCATTAAAATATTTTCCTTATTTGAGAGCAAGGAATTCACGGCCTGAGGATACACCTCTTTATTCTCCATTGATTGACGCACGGACCAGGATTTTTGAACGCCAAATCTCCTTCCCCTCATTCACGTCATTCACCCACCAATTTCAATCATTCCTCTCCTTTCTCATTGCACGGCCAAACTCCCATCTACATCTTATCATTCATGGCTATGGCATCTAATAACCTTGGAGGAGGAGACATTTTGATGGTAGCTTAAGCTTATGGGGAGGCAACTTGGGAGGAACATGGAGGAGACTAGAGCCTTGGGCTAGCATTTGAAGACCACAAGGGAGTGACGTTTCATTTATCTTTTTAATTCAAGGACTTGAAATTGTTTAGTTTTAAATGAGTTCAAGTTGTAATTTTGTTGAGACAATTTAGTTCTAGATTGTCAATTTTATTCTTGGATTAAATTGATATTTGGATCTTATTTGTGCCAAGATACTTGTTGGAATTTATGTTTAGAACCTTTGCATTGTTAATTGAATTTATAATTGAGTTTTCATTATGAGTTTAATTATCAATGTGGTTTGAATTGCAAAATTTGGGTTATTTTGCCTCTTAATTGTTTAATTAAGTTGGTTAATTGTCTAGTTGTTTAACTGGATGATTTCAAATATAATTTTCAGAATTAATTTGAGATATCTTCATTGGTTTTAATAAGCTTAATTGACCAACCTTATACTGTTATGAGTTTTCTAATGGTTTAAGGGTTTTTGAGATTAAGGGTTCCCTTTATTTCAAGTAGGTAATTACGTTTATTAATTCCACTCTCTTATCACTTCCCTTTGGTTTAATTAACTGATTAAGGTTATGAAGGTTAAATCCATGCAAATCCTAAGTTGTCCCCTCTACCGTACCTGAAGAGAAATCTCTGATTCCCTTTGCTTTTTGATTAATTTTCTTTATTCATTATTTTTATTTTCCTTCAAAAAACCCCCCAAAAATTGCATTGCATTTATTTAGTTTAATTTAATTTTCATATAGATTTTAGGATATTTGCATTTTCCATTTAGAATTAGAATTTTGCATTTTAGTTTAGGTCCAATTTATTGCATTTTTTTATCACCTGAATTTTTACCTAAAGAAACCCATAACTTGCTCCTTGGAAGTAATGACCTAGGTCGACCCTAAACTAAAAATTAGTTGGGACCTAGTTTAATTGAGTGCTTTAACGACAGAGGCATCATCAATAATTGTATCACAAATATTGAAAAAAAAATTCAATTTAAAAACCTGAAAAACACTTAGTAAATGGCATTAATGATATCGAGAGATTTATTAAAAGAACTGTCAATTACATTACAAGTGTTGAAAAAATCTTATAAGATTAGGCACTCACTAATTTCTCTAAGTTTAAAAACCAGTCATATAATGTGACTAATGACAATAATGAAGATGTGAATGTTGTTATAAAAGTTGGCAACCATGTTATAGATGTTAAAAAAATCTCAGTTTAAAACTTGAAAAATAAATAATAATGGCATTAATAGAGTTGCAAGACTCATTAAAAAAGTTATCAATAACGTTACAAAATTTTAAGAAAAATCGTTAAAAAAAATTGCCATCATCGACAAAGATTTGATAATCATTCAGCCAATAAAAATGACTTGAGTTTTTTTTTTTGGAAAAAAATTAAAGGGCAACAAATAAAAGGTAACACTGTAAATCCATCAACATTTTAAAATTTTAATTGAGTCATGATAATTTATTTGAAATTTTGCAAATTCAAGTGGCTTTTGGGATTTTTGAAATTCAAATGTTATTTTTGTGAAATTTTCCATTTTGAAAAATAAGTTATATTTGTTTACATACTTTAATTAATTTTTTCTTTACTTAGTACGATTATTTGTATCTTGCAATACTGAGGAAATTGTAACCCTTATATGAAAACGTTGTCATGAGATCTTGCACTAATACTTTGATGGAAAAATACGGGTCATTAATATAAAAGTAGATAATTAATTTGGGAATATTAGGAAAATTAATTAAGCTGGTTATTTGTCATAAATTAATGTTGATCTTCCTAAGCTATCTTCTTCAATTATGTGCATTGGATTATTAGAATTATTCCTTAGTAGGAATTCTTTGTATTTTGGAGAAAGATAAGAGACAAAATAGATTTAGGTCATATATTTAAGACTAAATTTAACCCTCCAACCAATTCTTATATTAGAAACCGAAGGAGCTAATACTTTTCTTGTGAGCAAGTAGGTAAACATCTTAATGGAAAAATATATTACTACTTCCTGTTGTTAATATAATGTAAAAGATAATTAAGAACTAAATTTGATTATAAATATAAGATTTAATTCATTTTGTTTTTTAAATTTATAATTCATTATCTAAAATATCCATTTTGATTACACATATCAAGGAGGTTTTCATCCAATGATAGTCAACTAGTCATGATTAAAATGATACTTTAAAAAAATCAACTTATATTTGTTATAAATAACTAAGTTAACTAACTTTCTTAATATATGCAAATTAGTTAGGTACTCCATCCTATTCTTAATATAAGCGCTAACTGAAAATTAGATTTAGTTCTAAAGATAAGAATTTAATCCATTTTGTATATCAAATTTATAATACTACTTACTATCATTAATATATATAAGAGCTAGTTTGACTTCCAATTTGATTATAAATATAAGACTCCAATTCACTTTGTCTCCCATATATTTTTTTGAAATAATTCTTTTAGTAGTTGAGCATGTTAAATGTTTCATCAAATGGTATTCTTAATAATATACATTATGAACAAGAGTATTTTAAAAAAATAATACATATTTATTATAAATAACTAAGTTAATTAATCTTATTAATTTATATAAATTGGTCAACTAGCTTTTATTTTAAGAATCAAATGTAATATTTTCTTTAAAATATCCATATTAATTTTAAAGGGTTTCCATCAACAAAGAGTTTTAATGCATATGATTAAAAAATATAGTTTAGAAAAGTCAAATTTTTTTAATTTTTATAAATTAATTATCTAGTTTTTATATTAAACTAAGAGGTAGTAGCTTTTATGTTTTTTTTTGGGGGCCAAAGTAGCTTTTATTTTAATTGTTAACAATCTAGAATATAGTCTTTAAAAAGAAAAAAAATAAAAATGTAATACACACACAGCTCTCTCATGGTCCACAAATCTAAATCACTTACATTATAACATGAAATTAATTTATTGCCAATCAGTCAGAAACATTTTAAGAAAATTAAAATAAAACCTCATATACAGTTTCTCCTCCTCTTACGAATCCCACTTTCCGCGGTCGACGCAGAAGCGAGCAAGAGTGTGTCCCCACCTTCGCGGGCCCCACCCTACCTTGCAATCCACTTCTCTACACGTGCACACGTGATCTCCTCTCCCCTACCCCCGCCCCCACCTCAAGTTGTTCCAGCTCCACAGTCGGCAAATCCTTCACTCACGTCATCAATGGCGAATTCCATGGTCACGAGAAACCCATCAACTACCCCCTCTGGTCTGGGAAATTCTCTTCCTGAGGGAACCGTTTCTACATGCTTCTCATTTCCTCTTCGTTTTCCTCACTGCTTTGAACAGCTGGACTTGAGCTGAAGCTTCTCCTTATCGTGAATCTCTAATGAGAATTTTCTCAGCCTCTGGGTTGTGCTTGTGGTAGGAGCAACAGATGTTGAGCTCGGTGCCGGAATCTTCGCTTCTTTCGGAGGTTTCAAGGACGGAGCAGTTGAACACCGAGGTATTGTTGTCGCTGCTTGGAACTGAACAGGGGCTACAATGTTCTCCATTAATGAAACAAAAGCCGATATAGGTCTCGCCGGAATGTTGATCAGAGGCGTAGCATTCACGGGGATGGCCAAAATCTGCGGCTGGCTTGTCGAAGTTCCGGCTATGGAATCCATCGGAGGGACTAAGAAGCACGTGCCCGCCGGAACGACGGCGTTTGACTGTATAGCCCACATGGGGACCAATCCTTGTGCTGACTGTACTTTTGCTTGTTGGGTATTAACTGTCGTGATGCTTGGCTTTGTCGTCACCGCCGTTGTTGATAGCGGGGCAAGGCCGACGGAAACCGAAACACCGTCGCTCAGCTCTGTGTACGAACTGTTCGTTGATCGCTTTTGCTTCTTCCTTTCAGGTGGGTCATCGGGTTCGGGCTTGTTGCGGGTGGATGGGGTAGTTGGAATTTTGAGGGTGCCGTTAACGGACATGGCTATGGCGGGAACGGTGCCGGTGCCAGTGGCCGCGATGATGGCTGGCTCCGCATGTTCGAGAAGCCATCGGATGGTTTCACCGTCAGACTTGTGACCCAATTCACGGGTCAACTGGAAGATCCGAGCGGCGCACGTTGCGGGCATTCGGATCCTCCGGCCTCGCCCCTCGACCTTCGTGTGACGATCCTTCGTCAAAGCCTTCTTTCGCGGCACGTGCACCGCCACTGGCATAACCTGCATCGCCTCCGGAGAGACCTCCTCCGAAGCCGGCTCTTCTTTGGGTCCGTCTATCAGCGCCGTTGTGGGTTCTTCTTCTCCGCTGGCATAGCAACCACTGTGAAGCCTGAGATCAACGCTTCGTGGATCCTCCTTGAATTCGACAGCGTGTTTCTGAAGAGCAGCCATGTTTGAACGAAAAGAGAACCCAGAAGAATATATATGTCTAGAATCGGAAAACAAGGGAGAAGAATTCACGGTGGAAGTTTATGGAGGAAGAGAAGGAACTACGAACGAAGAAAGGAGGGGGAAGCTCGAACAGCTTTAGAAGAAGCCAACGGCAAGTTTAAAGCGGAAGAACGAGGAGAAATCCTTCGAACTTATGTTATTCATATTTTATAAATACTAAAATTAAAGAGCATTAAAAAAAATTAAAAAAAAAAATTAAACTAGTGAGGCTTATCATTTTTTAAAGAAAAAATTAATCCTTAAATTCTTATAATTTTCCTTATGACGTAGTAATTCAGAATCAAAAGGGCTTTAGAATTAGTTTCTTAATACAACTTAGAAAAGGCTTTCTCTTTTTAAAACTCAACATATTTCCTTGCTTAGGCTTTGAAAAAATAACTCATATTCCTCCGATCCTTAATATAAGATCCATTTAACTAGTTTGATTAGATTAAGGAAGTTAGATAAGTTAGTTAATTATAAGAAATATGACACATTTTTCTTAAAATACCATAATTGTCTTTGTTAATATCTCTCTCCTTTTTCTGTTTGATTATAGTTGAAGGAGTATCCATATGAGTAATTTAGAAAAAATTGATAAATAGAAGAAATGTGTCTTATATTTATGACTAAAACCAACTCAATAATTGAGTCCTATATTAAGAATTGGAAAAATATCATTTATGATTGAAATTAGGGTAAGCTACCCAGTTCTATTTCTCAGGTACATCTAACATTATTTTTTTTTTATACATTCAATAGCTGATGTTATTATTATTTTTTTTGGGGCCAACATTTGATTTTTTTTTTTTTCTAATTCATCCAACACTTTAATTTTTAAGATATTTAATACACTAAAAATAATATTAAGGTGTTAGATGCTTAAAAAATAATATGAAAATGCTGAACACACTATAAAAAATCATAATATTAATTACATTTAAAAATAAAATTAGAATATCAGATGTAACTTTATCTTTAAAAAAATAAGATCTAAGGAAAAAAAGATAGTTTTCTGATAGAAAGAAAAGGGAGAAAAAGGAACAAAAGAGCGTTTGTAAGGTATGGCAGGTGGGGCCCGCATTCGGGTTGATGGAGTGGATTATTATACCACCTGCGGTTCTTTATACCTTATATGATTTTTATTTTGATATTTAATATAAGATCTTAATTTATTTTATTATAATCTTTCTAATAATAATAGTTCTAACTAATATACTTAATTAGTAAGAATATTTTAAGAAAGATAGTATTTATTTGTTATAAATAACTAATTTAATTTTTTTTAATTTATTTAAATTATTCAATTATTTTTATATTTAGAACAAAGGAATTATATATCATGAAGGAAATGGACGTGGAAGTTGCGGGAGCCATAGGAGACTCTTAACACGTGAGTGGTGTGGGTCCCCTTTGATTCCCATCTCAAGGTCCCCACCAGCACCAACGTTTGGAATTTTGAATTACTTTTAAGTCAACCTTGTAAATATTCATAATTACATCGTTTTTACTTACTAGTTAAATTTTTTAGAAACTCTATGCAGCTATGTATATTGTAAATATATGAAATGATTTTTTCAACAGCACCATATACTGACATGAATGGACGTTGTTGAGTATCTTTGAAGGACTGGATAAATGATTGAGATTAATTTAAAACTTAATTATATTCAATTAAGGATCTTTTGAAATAATAGGATGATTTTAAAAATATCAACTAATTTTTTTAATTTAAAGAAACTAATTAAAGATGATATGAAAAATTAGTAAGAATTTTTTTTTTACTTATACCGACGTATTTTATTTGGTTAATAGCTCTTTCTTATTAAAAGGCGCATGTTATTCAACATAAGAAAACATATAGGCTTATAGGGCTAAAGTGCTGGATAAAACACCAAAACATTGACATGCGTTATGAAGCCTTTTCCCAGCACAGTAGGTGTAAGTGTGAATTGTCTTCTCCCGAACATTGGTCGTTGGCTTTAGTCCATAGCCATTTCTTAAATTCAAGAGAAAAAAGACATAAAAAATGTCTTCTGTTGACAAAGGAAAGAGTTAATAACATTTTCCTGCAAAAAGATGATGAGACAGCAGGAGATATAACCTCTTCTCTTGCCTTCTTTTTTCTCATTTAAATTGATAAATCTTGTATTGGCAAGCTACTAGCCATGGGAGGCTTTGAATGGAGAGTTTTAGAACCTCATAATGAATTGAACATCATTCGAAGATATAAAGATTTACCTTAAATTTGTTGAATGACTTTTTTCAGACTTAAAATTGCCTTCATGTACCAAATAGTATTCATAAAAATTATAATTTTCTTGACTGGTGAGGAAAGTAAATAAATAGGAAAAATAACAAATTTACCTATTGAATTTTAAAATGACAATAAGTGATTTTGATAGATTTTGATATGTTAAAACCATTATAAGAGTAGTCAAAGTTATTATAAAAGTAGTAAGCATAATCTATTTATCTTTTCAAAATTTAACAGGTATTTTTGTTGTTGTCATTTTTCAATAAATATCTTTGTATTATTCAGTAAAATATCTAATTATTTTTAAATAATACGCTATAATAAAAACATGTTATTTAAAAATTATAAATGTTCGATGGCGTAGCTAATTAATGCAGTCGGAATTTTCATCAAAGCGCATGCGCTTCACGTTTTTTTTTTTTTAAATTATATTCCTTGAAACTTGAGCTCATCAGTGCGCATTTAATCTTTTAATTTCATTTTGATTTTAAATGTTGACAAAAGACTCATTAATACTAATAACTCTGATGCTTAATATAATACCTAGTTAATTAATTTGAAAAGATAAAAAAATTAGTTAAGTTAATTATTTGTTATAAATATGTATTTTTTTTCTAAAATATTCTTGCTAATCATGTATATTAGCTAGAATTATTATTTGAAACCTTTAATATGTGAAATTATTACAAGGACTACTTGAAAAAAAAAGAATAAATAAGAAAAACAAAAGGGATTGGGATCTTATATTAAGAATCAAATTAAAAATCAAACAAGCTCTTATATTAAGGACCAGAGGTAATAATATATTAATAATAAAAATTATCACTTGAAATTTATGATGTTAGAGAACTGAAATGCAAGATTAAAAGACCAAATTAAAATCTTAAATAAAACTAAGACACTAAATGTAATATTTTTGACATAAACTAAATTAAAAGTCTTTTTGAATTCAGTCGAGCTACGCCCTAACGAGCCTGGCCTCTATGGGTTTAATCCATTAGGACTCATATCTAAAAACTTTGTTTCCTTGATTTCTCATTCTTGTGACCCTAACTGCTAGCCTCGTAAGTTTGGATAACTTTTTTTTTTAAATTTATGTTTCACATTATTACATAATAAAAGTTCGAATGATCAAATGTTTGTTCTAAAGTCAAAATTATAATTCTTTAAAGAATAAATAATAATTCAACTCATCACAATTATTTTAAAATTTGGTAGCTCATATTTAAAAAATTACATAAGATAAATAAACTTATAAATTCATAAGAGTTCGGACTTAAAAGCCCCATATACCATTTTTGAATTGATTATTGAAGTACGAACCTTAACAACAATGGGGTCCGCCTAGAGGGTGGCCTGCGAGGGGCGAAGGGGCTTCATATATTACTTTGTTCTTTAGCTGGTTATTTAATACTTAGGCGGTTCCCCCTCTTCCATGATGCCACGTGTTGAGATCGTAGGATTCCCGGTCCCACAGGTAATGGCCCCATCTCTTTGCGTGGGCGCATAGCCGGGGGGCCCACTTTATCTTGAAGGATCTCTTAACTGTGCAGCCGCACAACACAACTTGCAAAGTACGGCCAGGGGTAGGGGCCGGCCATATGTCAATCTGATGGTTGGTATTGCACTATCCCATTATTCTTAGTAGGCCCAACCCACTGGGCCCACTCTGGCAATCCTTAACTTTCCTAGTGGGTCCCACGCATGCCCTGACCTCCCCTGGGGTGGACCGACCAGCAGCTTGTGGGAGGCATGCCGTGGGACCCACCATTTGCTTATCACAAGACGTTGATGTTGGGCTCCTGGGCCCCCCACATTAGGGTGGGCCATGCCGATCATGTGGAAAAATGGCATGACCATTAATACTTTTTGAATAGTTGGTCCTCATTCGTTTTTTTCAAGTAAGATTTTTTTTATAAAAAAAAAAAAATCAAAGGTCCCTACTTGCCTTGTGAGTTGTGAGTGGAAGTTTCTAGATGGGGACCCTAAATCAGTGGGGGCTTTAGTCTGGAGGGGGGAGGGCACCCCTGACCCCCACGGGGTGACGTTGCCCCACGCCACAAGTTGTGTTTTCAAATTCGGTATTGATTAACAAACCAACCTTTCATTGTCATCGCGTGTTTTTTAATGCTTTTAGAATCAGATAAATTATTTGATTAATTAAATAACCAAATTCATGATTAAACGAGTTATATATATTGTTATTATTTTTTTTTGGTAATATTAGAGTATATTAACTATTATCAACATGGTTTTTAAAGGATTTTTTTTTATTCTAAACAGAAATACTTATATAAGCAAAATATTCAAATGATCAAACAAATGCCAACCGTCAAAATTGTTTGAGTAAAGCCACCGCCTTATAGCTTTTTTCCTTTTTACTTTGTTAAGTTTACAACATGGTTACATTTTCTATTTCGTTTGTAATCTTAGATCATTTTCACAGTTTTTATGGGGAATATTTAGACTAGTTTTTTAAAAATAATTTTACAAATTCTAAAATAAGTAAATGTGTGAAGACAAATTGTTCTGACTAGTGTGAAAATATTTTCTTAATTAATTTTTAGAGTTTCCAAACACCCAGTAATTGACAAAACAAAACCTGCTTCATTTCTGCCTGGTAGTAATAGCTCCAAAATCTCCACACAAAAAAATTTATCCGTATCGGTCAGAATTATTTTGTGCATAATAGTGCTCATCCGGTCTTTAATATAAAACCTATTTAACTAATTTGATTAAATTAAGAAAGTTAGGTATGTTAGTTAATTATAAAAAAAGTGACACATTTTTCCGAAAATACCATAATCATCTTTCTTAATATCCCATCTCCCTTTTCTACTTGATTATGGTTGAGGGAATATCCATAGGAGTAATTTAGAGAAAATTGATAAATATGAGAAATGAGTTTTATATTTAGGACGGAAACCAATTCAAAAATTGAATTCTATATTAAGAATCAGAGAAGTATTTGAAATGATGATGATAATGCTCCCCCTCGGATGAAAATAACCCTACGGTTTTTGTCCTTAACTAATGGACCAATTATTTGAAAGCCTGGCCAGTCCTCCTGCTTATCAAAGGCTTTCAGCCGCTCGCTTCATATGGTTCAATCGTATACATTGATTTTTATTTTTAAATAAAAATAATACTTCAATTAAATAGAAAGATACAGCCTAGTAATAGTGTGTCCTCATTTTTCTTTTTGAAATTTGGCCCATTTAATACTGTTTTTACTTTTTACCTGAAACTTAAAAATCAAATTCATCTAATCTTTACACTGTTTTTACCTTAAAAATAAAATCTGAAACTAAAACAGTGCCTGAGAATGGGTAAATTTTTCTAAGATAATCAAGCTCAAACTGAGAAAATTGATTCGTGAATGTGTAGAAATTTAATTTTGCGATATTAAAATATTGTTGAAAAATTCGTTTGGAATGCTATATGATTTGTGATTTATTATTCTGTGTGCTTTGTTTACTCAAGAAATTAAACTATTTTATTTTATTTTATTTTAAAGTCATTTAATATTTTTGTTTTATTTTTATATATATTTTGGAGCTACCTATACTTTTTTTCAATTTTCAATTTGATACCTAGTATTTTTTAATTAAATATTTAATTTTATACTACTAACATCATTAACCATTATATAGAGACTAAAAATGTTAATAAAATAAAGTTACAAGAGTTAATGTTGCTAAAAAAATAAAATTAAATGATTTAATTAAGAGAAAAAATACATAGGTGTCAAATTAAAAATTGAGAGAAAATATAGGTACCTTTAATCTGGTTTTTCTTAAATGATATTATTTTTATTTCTAATATTGCACATATTAATATTAAAAAAAAAGTTTCAGTAGATTAAAATCCTCACTCAATTGTTAGATCCAATTGCTTGATTGCAATTTGAATCCAAAGAAAAGACAGACATTATGGCTTTGAAACAGAAGATTCTGTACTTCCTAATCTTTTTGAAGTGAACATTAGCATATTTTCTCAACGAAACAAATTGAATATCTCCTCCTTGCTTTACTTCAAATCTAAGAAAATAATGCAGCACACCTAAATAAAAAAACAAATGTACTGTATAGTCATGCAAGTGGCAGCCATCTATAAAATACATTTGTTTTTTTGCCATCATATCTATAAAATACATGAAAGCAAGGAATTACATTTTTGAACAATCTTTATATTAGTTTAATACTTTTTCTAATGCAAGTTGCTAATTCTGTCTGAATCTCATATGCTGGTGCAAGGACCAAACTTTTTTTTTTTTTTAAAAAAAAAAGAAATTGAAGGCTATGAAGAACTACATAAAAAAGAGAAAATTAATATGTAAATTCTTATGATTTTACCTCATTTTTAATTAAGCTATTGTAATTTCTTTATTGGGTTTATATATTTTTATTAATTATAGGTATTTATATCTATACTTATAATTGGTTACTTTATAAACCTAAATTAATTTTGTCACGAAGATCTAAATAAAATAAAAATAAACTATATTACAAATTATATATAGATACAAGGAGACAATTATGAGCACAACAATTTTTTTATATATATATTTGTGTTAATAATAAATGAATTTATTTCAACATATCCTTTAAAAAACTCTTTTTGTATCTTCTGTTAACTTACATGTGGCTTAGTTAATATCTACATCAGCCCTAATTAATAGATTTTAATTTATAAAATTGTAGGGATTCCATAAAAAAAATTACAGGGGCTCATTAACATTTAGGTGAAATTATAAACATTAATGAGTTAATTTTCCCTATAAAAATTTAGTTCGAGTGATAATTAGTTTTTTTTTTTGGTTACAAGTTCAAGCAATAATTAGTTTGAAACTAATAACTTTGTCAACATACAAAAGCTCTTTGTATTGTAGAGATGATTAAAAAAAAAAAAAACAATACATGAGAGTTGAGACGTTTCACTTGTCAATTTGCATTTCTATTTGCTTCTCGAAATATGTCAATCTAAGTATGTGCAAAACCAAACTGCATAACCAAGTTCACTCGTAATTACTCAATGCAAGATCCCATCAAGGATTGTTCGTGAACGATACAAACTAAACTAGGACTCATTAGCTAGCTGATAATTAATACCTTGATGTCATTGCCTGATTACACCTAACAATAAGTGCAAGTTAGGCTCATAGGAGGTACTATAAGAGTTAGTTAACTAATTTGATTATATTAAAAAAATTAGTTAAGTTAATAATTTGTAATAAATAAATGTTATCTTTCTTAAAATACCCTTGCTAATCAAGTGTATTAGTTAAAACTACTATTTGATGAAACATCTAATATGTGCAGTTACTATAAAGATTATTTTGGAAAAACGGATAAATATAACTGATAAAGTAGATTGGTGTCTTGCAACTAGGATTAAATTGAATATCAAACTAATTCTTACATTAAAAACAGGAGGTAAAAATGTTCTGTTTCTAATGTTCAGTGTCAAGAAGATGGACATGTGGATTTTTTTAATTCTAATCTATAACGAAAGAATCAGAAGAAAATAAAGTATATCATGCATATACCAATACATAATTAGTTGGAAAGCACGCTAAATAAATAATGTGAAAAAATGAAGCTAGCCTCAATCTAAAATATGCAGAAGTTAACAAGAAAAAGGGGGGGAAAAAAGAGAGAAGAGAATTAGCTTTATATTGGCATGCCTTGCCTGGTTGTAAGGTTGAAAAGAATGCGAAAAAAAGAGGCTTTGAAATTGCAGAACTGATGATAATGGAATGTCATGAGAAACTTCAATGCTTTTCACTATTTGAGTCTCTCCAATGCTGCCTCAGCTTCACTTAATTCCTGCTTTAGTGCTGAAATTCTACGCCGTAATCGTTCCACTTCATCTTTACTGACCAATGATTGATATGGTGATAAAAAATGGCTAGAAAATGATTTCAGAGCCGCAACCCCAGTAACCTATCAAATTCAAATTCACAGTAGCTATGAATCAAAATGCTGGGGGAAAATCAGCAGCAAATGATACAACAATAGTGGAATCGGTGATGTGTATTGTATAGCATCAATCCATAGCTTAATTGTGCTTTACCAATAAGCCTTATCTTGATAGCAGTGAATGATTATGGTATTCAATTTTTTGAAGTCACTCTACAGGGAAGATGCAGTATTCATTTAAAAAAAAAGAAAAAGGAGCAAAAAAGTAAACTACATTCAGATCCGTGGCACAAGATAGGAACAGGAAAAGCAATGTGAATGAGAAACCTCTTTCCCATACATATGGGAAGCCTTCTTCCTAATAAAATCACTTTGTCATATAACAACAACAACAAAACTTTATCTCACAAGGTGGGGTTGGCTATATAGATTGCATAACACTATTGAGTTCTATTTAAGGCCAAATCTTTAAATATATTGTTAATTAAAAGATCTTGCTCAATAAATTCATAAAATGTTCTCTTTGCCTCCCCCTACCATTTTTCAAGAAACTCCACGCTGTTTTATCAACTTTTCTCACTGACACATTTAAAAGCCTTCTTTGCATGTGACCAAACTGGCTTAAGTGGTTTTGTACCATTTTCTCATTGACAGTAAGCACTTTAATTTTTCTACGGATATATTCATTAGGAATCCTATCTTTTTTGTATGACAACAGATCCATTTCACTTTATGTTCATGCTATCCTTTCAAAGACCAGCAATGCTATATAGCAAGTGTCTAAACATATTAGGTACTTTCTCATCACAAACAGCTCCTGTTGCTTTTCTCCATTTAAACTACTTAGCTTAAATTTTATGATTAACATTACCATCAGTTTTACCATCTTTTTGTATAATTAATCCCAAATATCTAAATCTTTTCACTTGCGGGTTCACTTTGCCATATACCGAACAGAATAAATTTAAGAATGCTTTTCTTTACATTTTTCATTTCTTCAAATAATTTTTGCATGAACCAAATGCACCCTTAATGGTGTTTTGGATGGTCAGGGACAAAATTAAGAAAAATTATAAGAAAGATACATTAAAATTTCTTTTAAAGGCCATAGAAATAAATTATTCTTGGTGTTTTCTAAAGTCATCACTCATGTTCTTTGAATCTTCAATCTAATCTTTTAGATGCTAAAAGAATGTTTTTTTTCCTCCTTTAAATATTTTTGTAAAAATCAAATTATTGGATCTTTTGGAGGCTTTTTTTTTTTTAACCATCAAAGCAAGGTAGGACCCACTTTAACACCCTTCTCTTTTTTCATGGTCATTTTATTTTCTCCCTCCACAGTGAAGAAGTGAAAAGCCGCTTCATTTTGGTCTGTGCTTTTAAGCAGTTGTTGCCCCAAAAGTCAAATGGGCCAAAAGCTGATCCAAACATACGTGAATGTACCACCACACATTTTCAGCTCTTCATCGCACGTTTTGGCATAAAACGTACGTCCAAACATGCACTTAAAGAGCATGAGTGATGGCTTTAATAGTCCATTTGGTACGAGAGAAATGAAGGGAAGGGGAAGAGAGGAAAAGCTTTAATAAGCTCAATTTAAAAATTTAAGTGGAGTGAAAAGGTTTCAATTAATTTTTCTTACTCTTTTAGCTTACAACTAGAAATTTCTCCTGTGCGATGCACAGATTAACCTATTTGATTATATTTAAAAGTTTAATAAATTGCATTATCTAAGATAGTTTAAAATTTACTTCTAATAGGAATATATTTTTTTATTCATTTTAATGGAATTTGAATTAGAGATACAGAATTTATGGCAAATATATGAAAATTTGAAATTAATTATTCATTTCTCTATTTAAGCCTCTTATTGACATGCTATTTAATTATGATACCCCCCATTTAATTTAATATATTCAAATTTCAATTAAGATATTATTCAAATTGAAAGTTAATTATTAATTTCTTCATTTGAATCTCTATTTGAAATTGCATTTATTTATAATATTTCATATTTAACTTAATATATTCAAATCTCAATTAAGATGTTATTTAAATCTCATTAATTAAAGATATTCGGATCATATAATCTCATATCCGATCCATTTGTAAACGAATCAGGTATTACAAGTTTTCAAGAATATAATTGATTGATTTCTCTTTATCAAAGTTTTATAACCTCATTTTTCCAATTTTTCAAATCGAGCTCATTAAAATTTTTCCTCCCCTCCCCTCCAATTTCCTCATACCAGACATAGGTTAGGAATCATAAGTGATTCTCCATGGTGAGGGGCAAAAGCAGCTTCATTTTGGCTTATGCTTTTAAACATCTTTTGTCCCAAAAGTTAAATGGGTCAAAAGCTGATTCAAACCTGTGTAAATGTACCACCACACATTTTCGGCCTTGCACTGCACGTTTTGGGATCAAAATGCAGATCCAAACATGCACTTAAAGAGCATGAGTGATGACTCTAAGAATCATAAATGATAACTTATTCTATGGTTCTCAGCAAATTCTGGTTTTTAAGCATTTTAACTGTCATCTTTTCAAGAAAACTATCCCTAGTGGCATCATTTGCCCACACATATCTTGTGATTTCTACCCCAGTAAACAATAACCTGCTCAACATTCCTCATAAATATTCACAAGATATTTTTCAGGTCACCATAATCATGACAGTTTGTTATTGTGCGTGGGTATCTTCTCTATAAATTTAAATACAGTGACTTACCTCTTCTGGGAGCAGTGGCAGTTTTGTGATGTTAAAGTCGTCATACAACATGTAAAACTGGTCTAGGTACTTCTGTTGCATCTTCATTCTTGCCTTAAGTAATTTGGATTCAATATCTATAAGGATAATCAGATGAACATGCAAAATAAATAAGCTACGACAATGGATAAACAAATACATTACATTAACAAAATGTATGGGAGGCTACCTTCATCATCAAAGATTACTTGGTTAATTATGATATTGTGTGTGTCAATCTCAAACTTTGTGAGTTCTTGAACCAATCTCTCTGTTTCATACAGAGAGAGGAACTCCGGAATGCAAACACAGACAAAAGTTGTCATGTCCTGTGAATAGAAAAATACAATAGAATTACATTTAATAAAGTGAAGGAAATCTGCAACTTAATTACCTAGACATTAGTTCAGCTCAAAAGGGTTAACGTTCAGGCACATTGTTGTACTTCATGTTGACCAAAGACGGCATGGTTTAAAACGATTGTGGAGGAATAGGAAAGAAACAAAGAAAATCACCTGGGATGATCATACGATGAAAATATAATGATAAATATAATTTTAACTACCAATGAAAAGGTTTCAAAATTTCATTTTAAATCCATCAGCCACCTCACTAATTAATTCAACAGACTTCCAGCTCGATTTTATTTGACAAGTCCCACCGAATAGAAAACAATAATAAAGATAAAAAATAAAGCAGAGAGGCAGGAACAATAACTTAAACAGGACAAACCATTCAAAAGCAAAGAGAAAAAGTCGATGAATAGTGTATAGATCCTTTAAAAGTTTGTCTATACTGAAGGCAATCAATATACACAAATAAAGCAAAAATTAGAAGGACATGACAAATACAATTAAGAAAAGTTCAGAGGGTGAGATTATTTTACTTGCAGTACTAATCAAAGGCAGATATAACATTGAAGGTTCTGATTGTTTTGGAATACTCCTTATCAATATTTGAAATACTATCCATAGATTCAAGATTTCCTTTAAAATTCCATTTGGGCAAACAAATATTATATATAAAGTGATCTCAGGAATTGAGGAAACTAAAAACATAGGAGAATGGAAAACTAGCCTAGATAACACATATTGCAATGACCAGTAATATCTGACCATTGAAAGTTGAAACTTACGCTTTTGCATTGAATGATACAAAAAATAATTTGTTTGTCAAGCAAGCCATATTCATGATATTCGGGTTTAACATCAGCAATGCATCAAACATAAGAGAAGACATTTGCAGTGTGTTAGTGTATTCTTGCTTCTCCAGAGGCTACTTTTGCAATTCTTAAGGATTGCAAGGTCAAATTCATTCATAAATATGCAAATGTACGTTAACATCTTTTGATCAATTTCTTCAGGAAAAGAAAGGCTTTTCCCAAAGTAAAGGCTCTTGTTTGGACTGCTACATTTAACAGAATTAATAAAAATGATCTGCTAAGGACTTGAACGTCCCGCAAACTATTTCAGCGGATTTCTGAGTGATGCATTGTCACAAGGTAAAGTCATCTTTTTTTCATATTTAGTGGCAGGGCAGGATTTTGGAGTATTTCTGGTCAGAACAAAAAGTGGAGGTTTTTAATCAGAAGTTCCTTCCTTCTTTCACATTTTCCAAAATTTTGATTGACAGTAGAAAAAATAACTTGTCGTTAATTTGGCTTTTGAAAAAGTTAGATTGGCTAATGTGGTTTATGTTGAATTGTCTTTTATAAATAAGTTTGTAAAAGTGAAGTTGTTTGGATTATTATTGAAAAAGTAAGTTTGGTTGTACAATGACTAAAAAAGAAGGCATGAATTTTATTAAATAATACATATAATTCATCATCTCTCATCTGCTATACTCTTTAGTTACATTTCCCCATATATTTTCGTTTATTTTTTTCTCATTTATTATAAGGGAACATTTGAAAGCGAGAATGACCAAAAAGGAAGTTGAAAATTACTAAATCCCAAATCAGGTTTAGTAACAACACTTTATTTGGTGTTGACAACATTGGATTTACAAATGACAACAAATTTTTGTTGATATTTCTTATTTGGCATTTACAACTTTGCAACTTCATTTTTTGTCATTTTTCCTATTTGAAATCAAAAGTATATTTATAATCTATTTATTACTTTCAATTAATTTTACCTAATTATTTGTTATCCACAAATTAGTTATTTGAAACTTATAATAAGAACTGGAAAGAGTAGTAAATTTCTTAAAGATGGGACCTGGCTCTTTTTTAAGTTTTTGTCTCTCCACTTTTCAAAAGCCAAAAGTCATGAGTACCAAATTTCTATTTAGAGCTTATTGTGGCTTTTTATACAAAAACCAAATTGCCCTATCATCAATCCAAACACCACAATTACAGCCCAATCGTGCTTAAACTCCACAAGCAGCTTAACAAGTTCACTATGGGTTTTGTGGGCTTCAGTAAAAGGAATTTTTTCGCTCTGGCTGGCAGATCCACAATGGATATACAAAGGGATTAGAAAACTCTTTTGTGTTTAAAAAGGAAGAGGATATCTTATCCTCTATATTTGTTTCATTCTTTCTGCTCATCAATCATACAATGTGATAAAAGGAAAAATAAGGATACACAAGACAATATAGAAAAGGATAAACAAGAACAAGTATCATTTTCAAAACAAAGTCTTACCGGATCCTTGAACTGCTTATTAACTTGTTCAATCACCTCCTTCATGCCTTCAAGCCTCACAAGAAGCGCATCATCACCAAAGTCATCCTCCACACCAAACATACGGGTCATCTGCAATAGACAATTGGGAAAGGGAAAAAAAAGCTTCCAACTGAGCCTGGTATTTAATAAATATGCCAAGTTGCCATCTGCTGATCAGCCTAGAGTTTGGAGTCTCATGTAGGATGGTCAATAATCCATAAAGTTACTCAGAATAAATCATTGCTGATGTGATGGGGAAAAGAGAAATGCGAATAGTATGCAGAGACTGAGCATGATACGCAGAAAAGAACTCAGCCATACCTTCTTCGATCAAGGTTAAGTAAATGAAGAAAGAAAACAAAACTCTTGAATGAAATATATAGTGAACTTAGACAAACATGAGACTGTTTCTATACTTTACAGGATAGCATATTACAAGACATGCCAGTGACTGCTCATAAATACAGAATAGTATTCCACTAATTATGTAATCGTAACCTACCTAATATGGAAATAAATACATTGCTAAACTTGTTAATACGCTAGCTGACTACTCTTCATATTTACATGCCAACAAAGATATAGTTAAATAGTTAAACAACATTGATTTTTGTTTTGAGGCATAACTTATGGTGAAAATTGAACCATCTTCACTTTTGAATAGACTATAATGCAAGAAAAGACAACCATCAATCTAAAGTTCACACCTGATTAATCAAACCGCCAAATTTACTTTTCAAGGACAATACTTTTGCAATACCCTTCTCCAAAACTGCTGGGAACTGCAAAAGTCTGAGTGTATGGCCGGTGGGTGCAGTATCAAATACTATAACAGAATAATCCATTGTTTGCACCAATCTGTAAAAGAACTATAATCAATCAAATCACAAGGAGGGACAAATGAAATGAACAAAATGATACGTGACTTTGGAAATAGAATCCAGAAACATTAAAGACTCGATATACTATAGTCACAAATATGCAGATTTCTTTCATTGAAGACCTGAATGAGACTATATTCAGAAATATGCAGATTTCTCTCACCAGTGCACTTAATGCTTTCCAAATGTGAAGTTAACTTGCATTAAACCCTGTTAGACCCATTACTGAGTATCAATGACTCTAAAACATGCAATGAGAAGTGCACCCTGTAATGAGCCTTGTGCCTAGAGTTTGCAAAATTTTAACTCCTAATACAGAGCATTAAATGGATGATATATTTGTGCTGATATAATCTAGAGATAAGCCTCATCTGCACTCAATTCATCATAAAATCGTTCCTTACCAAACATATTCAATTGCGTTTCTTCAATATAGTCATACATTTAATTGTTGACATGCATATTGTTTTTTCTTTTGGTTTAGAACATTCTGACCGCAGAAGCCATATCCAAAGATCATTGAGATAATGTAAGCAACAAAGGAATAAAGCAATGCACACTTGAAAAGCAAAAGAACAATAATTATGGCCAAAGTACTTAGAGTCGGTAACCGAAGATGCCTAAGGGGGCAGGTGTGATGTTTTGCAAAGAATACCAAAACATGGTAAAATTAAACACCTAGATATTTATCTCTGAATTGAAATTTTCTGTAAAATTGTTTTAACCAAGGTATCATAACTACAGACCTAACCCGTTGGATAATAACACCAAATAAGTATCAAGCATCATTTACTTAACCAGTGAATGTCCAGCATATAGAAGACATCACAATTCTCTGTTTGAGGGACTCTTATTCTCATGTACCTTGAAATTAATAAGTACTGTCACAAGCACAACATGACACAGATGACTTTCAAATTTAGGCACACAGTACGTAATTTGTTCCATACTGTGTGCCTGAATTTCTCGCTTCACCATATATTTCAGAAAAACAGAATCAATAAGACAACACATATTTCTTACTTCAACATCTCAGCAAAGCTCATTGCCTCGTCAATTCCAGGTATAGCACCTGCTAGCTCTGAAAACAAAGAATCCATTCCCTCAGAACTCGTTTCCTCTTGTTCAACAGTAGGATCCACCTCCTGCAAAGTAGGGATAATGATAAAGAATGAGAAAAAATACTTTGCAAAATTATCATAGTGAATATCATAAGGACCTTGATTACATACTATGACAAGAGATGAAGGAAACAGTATAAAACAAAAAAGTTTCCGCCAATTATTTCTAGAGATAACCATTTGGCAAAAATTCAGATGATGTACATG